TAAATCCAGCAGTGCCCATCTGTCAGAGCTGCTCTCAATAGACTAACAGACTATTGTTAAGTTTTGAATGGCTGCCTATTGTCCCGGGCTGGGAGCTGTGCGAGCCTTGTTTCAGCAAAGGGTAAATAGAGAGGCAGAGGGAAGGCATTCATGCGACAGCCATTTTGGTAGGAATGAGAGCATCATCATGCCTACTGCAATCCAGTCATGTATGCGCTCCTCGCATCGCTTCACCTGTCAGCTTCACGAGTGCCTGTCTCCTGAATTTGCCTCTTTTGTTCTTGATCTCCTCTGCTATAGTTTTTGTTTTGCATTTTTATTTCTGCTTTGCATGCCCCGTGTTCCTTCTCTCCCTCGTGCTTCCCTCCCATCCTGCCCTGATGTTCTGCTTGACGTGGCAACAAGGCAGTTGAAACAGTGCAGGCAGTGTTGTGGTCATGTTGTTTTCTCCCTTTGATGCCTATGTCTGCAAAGTAGCTGAAAAAGAAGGATAAAAGGGTGTTGGAGCATTTCTGCACAGGTGGGTGCCGACAGCCCTGGGCTTGCACGGAGCAGATCCCTGAGTTTGTGTGCGTTTCTGTGGGATCATGCCTGAGCTGTGTGACTGTAAACAGCCCTTTGCCCGCAAGAGCACATGAGAGACAGACCAAAATTTAGGTCATGCTTAATCCGTGCCAAAGATTAACATGTTGAATGGATCATGTCATGGATGTGAGGTTCATGTTATAAAATCAGATGAAAATAGTTATGGACATAATTTATTTACATGCTATCTATTTACTAAGATACATTGCTATTTAAGTTTTTTGTAACTGTTGCTAACCCATGAAGTTTCTGACCAGATCCTTCATCTAAGAATCAAATGCAGCAAATTTATCAGCCTGTTCCTTATGATGACTTTTTTGAAGGGTGAAGAGTAGAAACTTTTGGTAAGCAGATGCTCAGATTTGTAAAGGAACAGAATGGTGATGTGCAGCCTTCCTTTGGGTGGGAGTCAAAAATCCAATCAAGCATATCTTTTCTTCTCTCTTACAGAATTAATGTGCTTCCCTCATAGATTAAAAGACCAAACCTGCAAGGTTTCCTCCAGGCGTGCAGGGCTGGATGCAGCAGCAACAAGCAGATTCTGGTGGGCCTCCACATGAGGTGTCCCACTCTTCGTCCCCCTGCCTCAGGCTGCCTGCTCTCAGTATGGGGTGCAGGTGATGTGCTCCAAGGGATTGTTCTCTGTGGGTCAAAGTTTTTCCCTCTTAGGTTAAATAATCGAGTGCTGCCAACTCTCATGAGGGAATATTGGAAAACTGTGCTCGGGTAGGACATAACACATGTTTTATGTACAGCAGTGCTTCCCAGCTCTCTTGTAGTTGTCATGTTTGAGAAACTTGGTTGGGCTTTGCATCTACATGAATGTAGCTGTTCATCCTACCACGTTCTGGCCCCAGTAGGTTCCAGCCCTGCCACTGGGCTGAATTCAAGTGCCTTTATGCCTAAAGATAGTATTGATATATCTGGTGCCCGAGGAGGCATGCAGTTGTGGGTTGACCACTTAGCAAAGCCTATCTGATACTGCAATAGGACAGAAAACAAAAGCTGAATTTATTATCAGACCATGGCAATTCTGGTATTGAAATAAACAGAAGCAACTGGAATGAGGTGGAGTAACTGATAACATTACTTTAGTAATGTAATTAACAGTGAGATGATAAAAAAAGATAATAAAAAGCAAAAGGTCACCCTGGAAAGACCTATTGCACAGTCTAACTCCTGTGTTTCACAGAATTTGCTATTGAGAGTTGCACGGAAGCGAGCTACAGTGAATGAAATATGCAGAACAGAAACACAGGTCATGTTTTATTCAGTTTAAGGAGGGGGCAAGATTTGAATTACCTGGGCTCGGATTCTGAATGCGAACCTGGGAGCTGCAGGTTCTGAGGATGGTGCGATTTAATGGTGTGTTGTCATGTGCTGATATTTTGGTGCTTTCAGTCCAGCAGGCAGCATTTTTCAGTTGCACTGCAGGAATAATTTATTTCAGATTCTGCAAGCTGTCTTCATCAGGAAATAGTTAAATCCCATGGTGGGGAAACCTTTATATTCTGATCATTTTGCGTAGATGTAGATGGAAAAAATCTGGTTTTGAAAGTGTAGGATTTAGCAGTTATTTCGAGTGAGTAGTCTGATTAAAGCCTTAACAGCAAGATTTTTAAAGTACATAAATATAATGATTATGTTGAAGTACGGCTTCTAGCAATGCAATTTCTGTTTTAGCTGCTACCCCTTAATGGTTGCTTTTCATTCCTGTAGGCAGGTTGTTGGGCATGTTCCCTTCAGATGCTTACTTAATTCCCTCTGTCACACTCTGGGGCTGTGAAATTCATCGAGGCTTTGATGCAGGAGGTTCCTCAGGCTGCACCCAACCAAGGATCAGGGTTTGTCTACACATCGCTTAGGTTTACACTCACCTTGTTACGTGGAGGTGTTGTGCTGGAGGAAGCGATTGCCTTCCAGCTGAAACTGGTGGTCAGGCTGCTTGTAACAGATGTATTCAGGTGTGAGTTTTCATGAGCAATGCTGTGGTACGCCTAGAATTGCTGTTTTCATTCCTAGCCTGCTTGTATCCATTCAAAATCTGTGAAGAGGCATCTCTGCTATTCATTTAAAGCCGTACTTTGACTTCTAGTTTTGAGTCTAAAACATACCCGTCCTTTTCTTTCTGTATTTCTCCCCGACAAGGATAGCATGAATCTTTCAGTACTCTTGGTTTTGGAACTGTGTTGTTCTTGCTAGCAAAGTTTCCAGCTGGAATCTCAATGACTTTTATTCTTCTTCTTCACGGTTTTCCTTAAAACCCTGGTACGTGTGTTATGTGTCATAACAGCCGGTTATCACTCCATACCTTTATTTTTGCATGTTAGGGTACCTGATAGAGTACCTGCTGTCAGCACTGTGTGTACCCCAGTCTCCTCTGGGAATTCCCAAATATGTTATGACCTTGCTGGCCTTCCCAGGGCTGATGGTGACTTAATTTGTCTTGCCTCATCTGGAGAGACCAGGTGCCTCTCTGTGAAGCAGCTCTGGTTAGGATTAAAACTCAGGAAAAAACAAAATGAAACAAAACACAATACAACTTTTTCTCTTTTGTCTGAACTACTTGCTTGAATGACTCAGGGGGAAGGGGAAGAAAAAGTTACTGTAATGTGATTCTGAAACGTCAATCCTGGCTTGTTAAAATATCGCCCTGCACTAAGCCTTGTAAATCACACGTCATTTCCTAATTAAAAACTGACGAGCATAATTGGGTCTTTCACTGCTGCGACAGAGCCTTGCACAGACAGGCGTGCTCCCAGGTTTGCAGGCGCTGGTGTATAGCCAGCCACGTCTGCCTCCTGCTTCACCTGGCTTCCTTTTGGGAGGTAGGCTCCTCAAGGAAACAGGCTCAGTGTGTGGCCAGTTTTTCTTGCTGGCAAGGGGATGTCAAATGGCTGATAGTAAAAAGAAAAAACACCAGCAAAACAGCAACAGGGAAGTGTATTTTCTATGTGCTAAACCATAATTTTGAAGTCCAGATGTACTCTACTGCTACAAAACTGGAGAACGTTGAAGGAACTGATGGGCTTTCTGGTTCTTGGTCCCTTCTGAGGTATTGCACCTCTACCCCTTGCTTTAGTGAAGGCCTAAATTTAACAGCACTTATAAAGTGTCTTTCTGGGCATATCTGTTATGGAAAACCTTAGAAGGGTATTTCTTGTTTTGGTGCAAATCTCCTCAGTGGAAAACTTCCGTGGCGTAGACAACAAGCACTGCTGGGAAAGAGTGCTTACAGGCTTTCCAGGCAGAGGTTGGGTATTTCTGTTTTGGGCACGTGGTTGGCATTTTAAGTAAGCAGTGACTGTTTTGCAAGTTCTAGTTTTATTTTTTTGGTCTTGTTCACTATTAAAGGTACACGTGCTGCCCTGACTGCACCCGACCAAGCTGAGCTTCCCTTCCAGTGCTGTTGGCTGCTTTCTGCTCATACTCCTTCCGTGGGTCGCTAATTTTGTTCCAATGAATAAATAAATGAGTGAACACACTGGTGAGATCAGATGTGGGCACTGCTGGTGCTGAGAAATGGGCCAGTGGCTCTCCTGCAGCCCAATCAGGCAAAAGGAGCATCTCTTCCAGGCCCTTTGGATGTCCCCTCAAGTGACTGCTGCCCTGTCCTTGTCAGCCAGGCGAAGCCCATCCTCACGTGGTCCTGAGTACCTTTTGGAGGATGATGAGAAGTGCTCAGGCTTTGGATATCCCAACGGAGAGGTGGTTCAGAGGCACAGATCTGCTTCCCTCCAGGGGCACAGGGGCACTGTACACGGTTGTGGACACAAGCCAGGCTGCCCCAGGGATCTGCAGCAGTCAGAGGCCATCCCTGTCCCAGGGCAGGGTGAACCATGCTTGAATCTCCTTTACTTAAATTACCCAAGGACTTTACACCTTACCTGTGCAACCTGTTCCAGATCTTCTAGTGAAGATTTCCTATTAAAGGTCTTACTAGTAAATTCTTCACACCTACCCTAAGCTTCCTGGTTTAAACCTCTTGGATTTTCCCTGTGTTCAGCTGCCAGAGAGGCAGCTTTTGGCCACTTCCTACATCTTTTTTTGCCCACTTTTTACATCTTTAGAGTTAAAGCATCTCCTCAGTTCTCTCCCCTTGCCTAACTAACCCCCGATTAATCCAATCACTCCTCTGAAGCCAGATTTTCTAGGTTATGGATCGTGCCCTTTCCCCTCCTCTGGGTTCTCATCTGTTTGCCCACACCTGAAATATGGTGCCCATGGCTACACGGGGATGTTCTGCTGGAGACTTAAAGCTGAGAAGCCCTGGAGATGTCTTGGTACCTTTTACCTCCTTCACTCCCAGGTATTTACTCATGGTTGGACGTTTGCTCATTTTACACTGCGAGCTTGCACACCACTAGTTGTGCACAGCAATGTCCTGTTCCTTCTCTGCTTGCTTGCTGCTCACCCTCGCCTTCTCATCCTGTATTTTTCCACTGTCCTTTTGAATTGCGTCCAATTTGTTTCCAGCTTAACTTTATTTTTTTTTCTTGCTTTGCTTCTTTCCCTTCTAAAAATATAAGGTATATAGCCTGAAAATATAGGGTTATATTTTATGTAAGGGAGGAACAACACTTTGCATGTCACAATTACCTTTCGACAGATACAGATAACTGCCTGTCTGCTCCGAGGTGGCATGAAATTGCTGTGAACCACGTGGAATATTCCATCAGAACGGTGCCAATTTCCTCCTGCAGCCTCTCAGAATAGCTGCCTCATAATACCGGGTAATTAAGTTGCACTTCTCTTGCCCTTTTAACCAAGGGTATCATAACCTTGCTTTAAGCTGCGGATTCACCAGGAAAGCTTATACCTGTGTCCTGGCCCAGCAGGATCCCAGACGAGGTGCTGTTGTGAAGGAGTGATGCCAGTGCTGTCCCACAGGGCTTGGGCCATAAATATTGTGCTGGGGGGGGCAATGACTGAGGGAAACTCATTGCAGATGAACAGCCTTGGGCCATGTATCACGCCCAGAGGGACAAGCACAGGCTCCTAGGGCTCCCGGCTCTGTATTTACGATGATAAATGTTTCACTGCAGAGCCGAGCTTGGCATTGAGGTGTCTTCCCTGTGATGCACTGGTTTAGAGCACGTCTGTCTTTCCTCCCCTTATTATTGAATGATTTACCCGAGTTCCTGTGCTGATGCAGTGATCTGGGCTACCACGGCCCATAATGAGCTGTTTCCCAGGGGTGTGCAGGGACCTAACTGTTAGGAAGGGTAACAATGCCATGGAAACAGCAAGGATTCAGCGGTGTCTGTTCAGCAGAGTGTGGGGTCTGGCAGGAGGCACAGAAATGGCAATTTTAATTATAAGTGAATTTATAATGCAATTTGCACTTAATGTGCCTGGCACAATATTTTTTTCCATGGGAACTTCGAGGACGCTGTGCTGAACAAATCGAGTGCAGCTTTCTCTAACTTGTACGAAGTCGCTCTAAACAGTCGCGTTTGTAATTAAGCAAATTCCTGACCTTTGCTCAACGAATAAATTTGGGCTGCCAAAAGATCATATACACCAAGATGGTTTTGCTTGACATTTGGGCACCGTTAATGACCAGGAGTGGAAGACTAAAGTTCTAACAAATATTGGTAAATTCACTAACTGGAACAGCAGCAATTCAAATTTAATTGCATATTTACAGGCTAATCATTCATGTGAGGCTTTCTAATGAAAGCTGCAGAGGCAGGCACCAGATTAAAAGTAGTATACTCCCCTTTTTTTGTAAGGGACACTGTCAGAAGTAACAGAAGAGGAGGATTTCATAGTCAGGCCATAATTTCAGGCTTCTGGGCTCCCCGCTGAGCCACTGAATTCCAGATCAGATCAATGAAGTCTGGTTCCCTGCCTCTGGGTTTAAATCCAATTCTGGCTGCGGTTTCTGGTTTGGGGGTGGGCATGCTCTTGATTGCACCACGGGTCAAATGTCAGAACCTGGGAGCATCCATCATCTGGGAGGTCGCTCAGCTGAGGTCAGGGACTCTTTCAGATTGTTTTACTGGCTATTGACCTGCAGAGAAGTACTTGGTCTTTGCTGATTGTATTTTCTTTTTCTCTCTTTTTTTTTTCTTTCTCTTGTTTTTTTTTTTTTTTTTTTTTTTTTTTTTTTTTGGATGGATGGAATGTGTAAATGATGCTTTGCATTTTAAATTCATTCCTTCAACCCCTGCCCTCCAAAAAAAACTAAGCTGTAACAAAGGGCAGGATTTCAGAGGAAAGTGATTTATCCAGATCATCTCCCTAGAGCCTGTATAATTCCAGCAGGAGATGGTGATTTCTGTTGTCAAATCTCGGTAGTTTCAATGGGAAATAGTGTTTCTGGTGCTACTGGAAAAGGCTGAGATAGTTAATTACCAGAAGGAAATGAACAAAAAAAGAAGGAAGCAACCTCACCTGTTCATTGCATCAGATTAAAGAGTTAAGTAGATAGAGAGAGAGGTGCTTAAATATTATCCACACAGTAGCTTACTCTGTAAATATCTTCACTGTCTGTAAACAGTTACGGACAGCTGATGTTTAATTGGTTTTGCTAGGTAAGTTGGAAGCCCAGGGGAGGATGAGTTTTATCCTGTGGATGTGGAGTTGGGATTTGTGTGTGTCGTTACTTGTGCAGCCACCACCTGACAGGGCATCTTTCCTCAATTCCTCCTTGTAGAAGATGAAAGCACCTGGGTTAACATGAATTTCTTAGCCCAAATGAAATTCACTTCCTCTAAAGAGGCCAAGGTCAAGGCTGTCTTATTGATGGTGTCTCTATCTTACACTGTTTGCAGACTCTGGTCCCGCTGGAAATCGCTGCTGTCGTTTAGTGCTGGCTGTCAGCTTGTGCTGAATACATCATCGTCAGGGCACCGACTGCTTCTGACATGATGCAGATCTTCATAATGGCTGAGGTCTTAATCTGCTGGCTCCTGCACGTGGAGAAGCCCAGGGCTGGGAACAACAAAACCTGGCCTGGAAAAGACTCGGTGAGGTTTCTAGCTACTCTGCTTCTGCCTTCCTGTCTTGCCTGGTGCTCTCCCTGTAACCCACAAGTCCCTTCACCATAGTCTCAAACTATCTTGGGTCTATTTCCTCAGTTACTCATATTCTGAAGTTTTCTGGCAGCATGGCACTTCATATTCTGAAGTTTTCTGGCAGCATGGCACCAAGTTTTATTGTAAACCTGGGCATTTGTCATCGGAGCTGTCAGATCCTAGTGGCTTTTATCAACGCCCAAGCAATAGCAGGGAAGGTCAGTGTAAGTGTACACCTACATTTTGCTGTAGATGGTTTCTATCGGGAGCTCTTCTCTTAGCCACAGCCATAGCAGCTAAATCCTGGCAAGCAGCCTACAGCTGTGAGCTGCAAACATCGATGGTTTAGTCATTTATTGTTAGAAGCAAACAAAATGTCATGTATGAAAGATTTCTTATAAGGGCAATGATAGAAGTTTTGTCTGCAAACTTGGAGCCTCATAATCAGGTAGACCAAGCCCCTTCAGGCTGATTACATCTGGAAGCCTCCCCCATTCCCGAACCGTACAGCAATTTGGATGCTGCTCTGGCTGCATGCAGCAGTTGCCTTTCGATTGCTCAGTCAATAGGCAGAAAAACATAGCTGCCCTGTGCTGGCTGCTAACAAGCACAGAGGCTGATCTTGCAAGGTCTCCTAATTGAATTTTGCTTATAGCACAACACTCCCTCACCTGGTAGGATTAGACCTGTAAATTGTCCCCGTGTCTTTTTGTGTAACGAGTGCCACACGGGTATGAAAGCATGTGCTGTGAAGTGGTGCCTTTGGCAAATGACTCCGCAGTGTGAAAGGAATGCTCTCAGGTGGGAGGATGCTAGCAGAGTAAATGGGCTCCGAGGTGCTTTGTCCTTCAGGAAATGGTCTGGCTGGGTTCAGTTGGGATGAACGTGATGGTGAAGCTAAATGACATTAGTTAAATCCTGCAACAGTCTTATCTTTTGTGTGTTTGCTAGATCATCCTAAAGAAGAACTAGTTCTCAGCTAAAATCTAAAGAGATGGAGTAGATGTGACGTGTAACATCCATGGGGACGCCCTGTTGAAGGCAGCTGGTAGCTCTCCTGCAGGACCACGGGAGCTTGGAGCAGAAGCTGGATGCCTCCACAGCCTACAGGGGTTTGCTGTTTCTCTGGGTGTGAAGAGCAGGTTTGATCTGGGATGGTGCAAATTATCCGAAACACCAAAGCTTTGGCTTCCTATCCCCTTCAAATACTTTATTTACTGAGATTATACATATAGTTTATTGTGTACTGTAGTGATTCTACCAATACACAAAGCTGAACATCTGAACGGGCTCCAGGGTATCATCTCTTAGGTTTAGGTTTCTTTAGGGGGGAGGTTGTCTTCTGCTGTCTCAGATGGTGCCTCTTGTGTTTTTGGCCCAGCCTGGATAGAGGCTAGCACAGGAGTGCGGGTGGCAAGTTTCTCTCCGTAGTGGGACCGGATTTCAGTCAAGTTTTCAACTCTCAGATACCCAGGTTTGACTTCTTAATTTGTTCTCATCACTTATTCAGCTACAGACTTTATCTGGAAAATCCAGCACGTGCCAGGTTCTGTCAGAACCACCTACGCAGAAATTGCTTGCTTTTCCTAATATAGTATGAACGAGCTTTAAACATCTGAACATTTACTTAAAAGCTAATACTTTGGCTGTTTTAAAACAAAGAGTCCTGCTCTAATTTTAGCAGTGGAGCGGCTGTCCAGGAGCCCTCAGTAGGCACTGTCACTTCCTTGCAATCTCTAGGTCACGCTGCCCAACGTGTACTGAGCTGGGCATCTAGGAGCATCCAAGTCCCCACAAATGCTCCGTCTCATAAAGCAGTTGTTTTTCACTAACTACTCTTTTCCAAAGTAGCACCGATGAGAAAACTGGGAGAAGTGTTTCTTTAGCGTTGTTTGTAATTAAAAATAGCAACGCGGATGGCCCAGCTCTTGCAAAGTGCAAGCCCACTTCTTTCATTCAGTCTGCCCCTAAATCTGTTTAAGCGTAAACCAACGAAAGCCAAAACAAACTGGGATTAATTAACAGTGTCCAACACAACTGTGTTGCATCTGAGACCCCTGTGGCCCCAGTCCTGGTGGGGGCTGGTGTGCTTCCAGCTGTCCTCAGGCTCCTTGCATGACCCTGGTCTCCTCCCAGATGTGTCCATCCAATTTTGTGTGCAGTTGTCCAGAAGCCACGTGGTTTAAATGAGCTGGTTTGGGGGGAAAAAAGCAAAATTGAGCCAGAAAAAAATTGCTTTTTTTTTTTAAATTATTATTTTTTGTTGTTGGTTTTTAGCTAATCCCACTTCATCACTTGAGTAAAACCACTTTGGAGGCAGTGGTCATCTTCAGGGAACGGCACAGGGTGATGTTCACTAGGGGTGGCTGCTGCTAGTCCATGGCTGTGGGTGGACAGCCCAGCCTGGGAGCAGCTGTGCCACGCATGTGCCTGCTGCTGGGGTTTGCTGGCCCTGATTTAACCCGGTGGCTGTGGTCTGAGGCAGGATTTGACCTTTTGACTGCTCTGCTCAGTGAGGAAGCAGCAGAAATAACCTGGTGAGCAGCTGGGGCTGGCAGTCTCTGCTGTTATTGCCATTAGAGCCAAGAGAAGATGATTTTAAATCCCTTTCAAAGCCAGTTGAGGCTCTGCCTGTAGAAAGCTTGAGTGTTTCAATCCATGTGTGTGTACTCGGCACTTGGTTAACCCTTTCTTCCTCACCAGTTTCCTGTGTCTTTCCTCAAGCAGAATGTCTCTTACGGACAACGTCACCATCCTTGGGTTTGGAAGGAGGCGTGGGGACATCATTGTGTGAACGCTGCTCCCTGATACAAGCCACAAGCAGTTTCTCAGCAAAGAAAAGCCTGCAGCTCATTCTGCTAATTGCCAGGCTTCATTCCACTATGGACAATGAGATACACACACCTGAACTTCTGTTAAGACCCTTCTGTAAGTACCTGTTGTGAGCCTGCTTTCTGTTACTTTGAGTCTTGGTGAGAATCCAGCTGCTGCTTTGCCTTTTGGGGATGAGTTGTGGCCTTTTTCACCGTTTGAATAAATACAAACATGCCCTCTGTGCATCTGCTTTGGCGAGCTGCTGTTGGGTTATCTGAGCAGAGCAGCCTTGTCATTACTGCTTTATCTGGGAGTGAGATTTAAAAGCAGGATTTTGGTAATAAATACAGGCTTCGTGCTAGTTATTAAAGCAAACAGAGTAGCAAAGATAAGCCTGCTGCATTTATTCACGGATAAGGAGGTAATATAGAGGAACACAGCAGTGCTTTGTCAGGGGAAATTTGTTCCTCCTGAGAGTACTGCTTAATTGTGCCTGCCTGCAGGGAGCTGGGCCCCATTTGGGAGGTGCTACAGAGATGTGGGAGGAAGCTTGTGACCTCCTGGAGCCACGATCAGAGGCTCAGACTCAAGCTGCTACTACATAACGAGTGGCCATTTGGTGCCCTTAGCCATGTTTGCCTTTAGTCCTGGGAAATGTGGACTAATTTCCACTGAGAGACTTCACATCTCTAAACTCAGCCCCACGTTTCCAGAGCCTCAAAGTGCACACACAGACCACATCTGGAAGGGGGCTTGTTAAGCGCAGCAGCAAGATTGTGACCACGATGCCGAGTTTAAGGTGAGAAGTGGCAGGTCAGCCTAACAAAAGTAGGGTGCAAGGCAGGACTGATGCTATTTAATGCTAGGATCATTGGTTTCTGTCTTGGTGGGTGGGGCCACTTAGATTCTTTTGAGGACCTTTTTGGTGACTAATCTAGCCACTGTGGAGTAAGCTGCACTGGATATCTTTTTTCCTTCTGTAATCAGGAAACTGTATCATTTGTCATGAGATCCACAAAGACAGCCTCAAACAAGGGATCCCTTTTGTTGCACTGAGTTCATTTCTGCCATTTACTTAAGATGCTGAGAAAGAGGACCAGGAATGGTAGTGCTTCCTACCACAGGATGTGGCTAGGTGAAAGGTGAGGCTCTGAGATGCAGTTTAGGGAACATTTGGACTTCTGATCCAGCTGTTTCTGCAATGTCTGCTCCAAGCCCTTACCCCAGGTGCCATCTGAGCAGGCTGCCTGGGTGAAAATAAATGCAGTTTGTCCTTGGTAGGTGCCTCGTATGGAGCTTCTGATCTGAACCCAGGTTTGATCCAAGCTTGCAGTGGCTGATCCGTGAGTCATATTGCTACATCCTTTAGACAGGAAATAAATTCCAAAATTTCCAAGAATCAGCTGGTGGATGCTGCTAAAAGTCTGAAAAGTGTAACGTGTTACAGGCCATTTGTATGGCAATACCCGTGCGTTTTTTCCTTTGTGGCAGCGCCCTGGGGCTCTGTCATAAGCATCACTGTGCTAGATGCTGTGTAAGCAATGAATAAAAAGTCCTTGCAATAAAGGTATCTACGTAAAGACAGGTTTGCCCTGGAGAGATAAGGAGGGCAGGAGATGTACCATTGGTAGTCTCTTGTATTACATGCAGATGCTGAAACAAGCAGTGCGTGACTGGTGGGATAGAAGCAGCAAGCTGTCATTATTTGATTTAATACTTCTTTCAAGCATTGTTTAACACATGCATATGTATATTTTTTCCTGGAGTGGGTTGTTAAACTGATATTCTTAATAAGGTCAACAGTCTTTAGTAAGATAGAGCTGTATAAATGAAAACTGAATTTGAATTGGGCTTCATTTTCGCGTGCCTTATGTCCCAGTAACTCAAGTTTGTTCAGTTTCATGGCACAGAAAAAAAAAATAAAAAAATGAATGAAAGTCAGCGTGAAGGAGAACTACGTTGCCTGGGAAGTGGAAAAGGTTGTTTTCTAAAGTAAACCCATGAAATTCTCTTGGATTGAAATTTTCCCTATGGTCAAAACAAGCTCAGATGTAGGGTTTTGCCTAACCTTATTACAGACAGCCTTGTCTCTGATCCCTGCTCTTCTTAGGGTGCCTCCAGTGGAGGGAAGATGAGTCCATGAGGATAGCTGTAACAGCATCAGTGAGATGGTTTTGGCAGAGGACGTTATCCTGTTTGCCTTTGAAAGCAACTGCCTGAGTGTCAGCAAGCACACAAAATACTTCAGAGAGATCCAGCCTTTGGGTTTGGTGGGAACAGCTGGGAGGACACATGGAGATCACAGTCGGGATGGCTGGGACAGATGCTCACTAAATGCCGCCTCCAGAGGGGGAGAGGGCAGGAGTGGAGGGAAGGAAGGCTCATCTGCTGCTTTGTGCACATCGGAGTGCTGCCCAGAGGTGTCCCAACAGGCCTGTCAAAGCTAAGAATAACACCTGGGATCCTCCAAGCCTTTTTTTTTATGGCCATTTCAATGTCTTTTAATAAACTACTTTTTGCCCAAAGACTAGGAATGGCTACAGATGACTTCTGAAAGCAAAGGACGGTCCCTCGAGGGCAGCATGGTCAGGGGACCAAAGGGGCAGACGTGGGCACACCACAGATTACTGCTTCAGTCACTGTTTCATGTCCTCCTAGAGGGACGTGAGCCAAAAAGCTCTGCTTTGGGTTCTCACAAGCTCTGAAGGTGCGAAGATTTTGATGTACTTTGGTACCTATAACCAAGGAGTTTGAATAATTCATGCGTGTTCCTCTGTTGCCTTCACCTAATCAGCTTGTTTCTGCCAGCTGATGCTGAAGAGCGGCTGTAAATAAGATGAAACCCTAGCTGTACCTCGGCTGGATTTATTTCTGTGGGTAGATCGGTTTTAAGGGAAGCTGCTGCATTGTGTTGGCCTGTTGGTGGTTGTCACTTGCCTTTCCTGCATTTCAGTGTGCTGCTGCTTAGGGATAAGGCTGTTTAATTGATCTCCAGTTGCTTTTCAGTGTCTCAATAACATTCAGTAATGTCTATTAAAAATATTTCTCACAGCTCAAGGACTGGCAGCTGTAGCAGACCGGGGAGCTGGGCTGGTGTGAGACAAGGAGAGAGTGATGGAGAGGAGGCATGTTTGGCCTCTGTGGTTTCTTAAAGACTCTCTCCAATAAAGTTGGAAAGCTGATTTTTTTTTCTCTCCTTTTTAGTGCTGCTCATCAAGTTGAAATGGAGGGCTGGGAGTGGAGAAACGAACAATTGAAATGGAGAAATGCTCTCACACATTTGTGATTTGACCTTGTGCCAGTGCAGCTAACCCATTAGGCAATGGATTGACTAAAATGACTCCTCTGAATCACTGAAATTGTACGTAAAATGGCAGCTTGATTTTTCTTTTCTCTGTTCCCCACCTGTTGTCACTTTGCCTTGGACTCTGGTGCTGCGCCCTAGTGCTGTAGCTACCTGTGTGTGCGTCACAGCCTTGCCATCAGGTAGGTGCCCAGAGCCAGCTGGGATGGATTCAGACACCCCCCATTTACCAAATCACCCCATTTTTTGTACCACCCCCGCTACCAAAATCACAGCAAATAGGACGAGACTAGCCCCCAGGGCTGATACCCCAGGAGGGGCTGTGTGAAGAGAGGTTGGGGCTCTCTGGTTTGCAGAGAGCAACAAGCTGGGAGAAGGGTGCAGAAGTGCCAAGTGGTGGTGTAGAAGGTCATTTTGGTGTCCTTTATTCGTTCCCTTAATCCACGAGCAGGGGGAATTCGATGAAAATGGGAGCTAATAAGCAGGAGTGGAGGAAGGTGTTTGTTAGCTCTGCTTACCGTCTGTCTGTGAGACTTCTCCGAGGCCAGGAGCTTAGTGTAGTCTAAAAACCACAGACACCCACGCAGGTGATGAAATCCCTGTTTCAGGGCAGAAAAAAAAGATGATATAAAGCTCGTGTGTCTCATTTCATAGGAAATGCCAGCAAGGCCAGATGCTTCGCTCTGAGCATGCTGTCTGATGGGCACTGGCCTGTGTTGGCTAGTGGAGCCACCAGTTTGATCCCTGAAGACCCTCTTAAGCCCTTAGAAAGCAAGGCAGTTATTTGGAAACTAATTTGGCAGATGTTTGGAGACTTATTTCATGAGCTAGATGGATGGAAGGAGATTTGTGGTGCCAGACTCCATGGAGGGGATGTGCAGAGCGATGCTCAGGGTGGTTGGAGGGGAGAGAATGCAAAGACCAAAGCTGGCTGAGGGCATCCCAGGATGGAGCATCCTCTGCCTTCTCAGCCTCGAGTGTCTGGAGGGTTGGAAGCCCCAAAAAGCTTTGAGTTGGTGTTTGGGCTGTGGTAGACGAAGCGGTGCGAAGGAAGCCTTGCTGCAGCCTGTCCCTCTGCCAGGCCAGCTCCCAGCACACACCCCCGGAGGGCATCTTCAGCAGATGGACAGTAGCTAAGCAGCAGCTTTGTTAGAATTTAGTTAAAAATCAGCAGCAGTAGGAAATCAGGCTTTCCTAGTCCTGGAACTTGTTCTTTTTCTCGTCCTTTCCTCATATTTCACATGTTTCTGTTGGAAAAGAGAAGCTAAAACAACACTCAGATTGTTTTCTTCAAGGAGAAATATTTCCTTTTGAAGTAAAGAAGAAAGCAAATGTTTCCACTAACTACTTTGAATGATGCAATTTAGCCACTTCCAGAAAAGTTTTCAGATTTTCAATCTGTCACAATCACGTCGGTGAGCCAGGAGAGAAGAATTTTAGCTCTGTCCCCCTGTCGAATCTGCCTGTGTGGCTCCCGCTATTTTCTCTCCTGATAGAAGCAATTGGCGTGCTGCTTTCTGTCCTCCGCTGCCACAAAAGGCCACGATCCGATGGGATGTCAAACTGCCTCGCACTTGTTAAGCTCCCGTGGCTGGCAGCATCTGTGCATTTGCAATGACATCTCCAAATCCATCCCGGATACAAAAGTACTCTAAAATTGTAGCCTTTGTGTGTGTCTATGCGCTGTATGTTTTATTTATAAAGCTTTTAGAGATAGCAGCTTGTTCTCTAATTTATTTTGGGTTGGTGAGGAGGAGGAAATCTCATTGGCAAGATAGGGAATTTGCAATCTGAATGTAAAAGGAATGTGGGGAAAAAAAAAAAAAAGTCCAGGGTTCTGGGACATGTTTGCATGAATAATAATGCCTCCAAAACGATAATGGATCGCCATCCGTTTGTAGAACTGCAGAAGCTGCTTTGATAAATAAAATGATATGTCAAATTGTAAGCAGCATGGGGTCCGCATGTCTCACTTATCAGATGCAATTAAATGGGAATAGTGGCCTGCCTGCGAAGCGAAAAGTTGCGATACCGTGGTGCCGTTCCCAGCTTTCGCTTGCACGAGGTCTCCAGTTGGTCTGGACACCCATTTCAGGGCCTGTCCATGTTTGACTGGGAGCTGTGAAGCTGGAAATGGGTGGATGTTTGCCAAGCTTTCTGGGGGGCAAAGCTCTGCTCTTCTGGTTCCACAACCAAGACCTCCCTTAGGTATTTGTAGGGGCTTGATCATAACTGGCCCTGCTGGGTGCTTGTCCCACACTGGGTGCACAAAGTCCTCGCAGCCTGCAGTTGGTTTTGAGCCACACAGCCACGACCTCACAGCATTCCTTAGCTCCTGGAGGACGTCCAGGAGAGATACAAACCAGCAGGTCCCTGGGGTTGCTCTCGTGTCCACCTTTCCATGCTCTCCCATGGTATGATTGGTGCTGTTTGGAGGCTACACTGGTGTTGGAGATGCGTTGGGTGGACCACTTTGTACAGCTGCTGGAAATGCAGCAGAACCTCCTTTTTTGTTCAGCTCTGGCTTGTTTCTGTGCTGCTTATTATCTCCAGTTGCTGGCATGTATTGGCACTAAAGTAAGAACTTCTAATTGCCATCTACTCATTAGCTAATTATGTGCACCTCCTTAGATGCAGATCATAGACAAGTGTGTACTAGCTGTTCCAGGTTGCACTGTCTGCAAATGCTTTACTGGAGGCAACAAAAATTTCCATGAAATTACTTGAAAATGGCTTTTGGGATCCTAGTTGCTCTAGCCAGAGTTCAAGGAGAAGGCTTTTATTTTTCTTTCCTCTTGTCTGATGAAGTATTTGTTGCTTCCAAGTCTTTCTGTGCAGACTTTTAGTGTTTTCTGTCCCGAGTCTGTCTCTAACTCAGGTTTTTGTAACACAATGGTTTCCAACTGCATGAAAATCTGATGGAAAACACATAACAGTGAGACCGAAATTCTGCTTTTGTCATTTCATGACTTTGAAGTAGTCTTTTCTGCTTCAGGAGCATTTCTCTCCATCCTCAGCTACTGAAAGTCCCTGTTTGCTGTCAGCTATGTAGTCACCCACTACCCAAGGCTATGTTGGCCTACCAGAGGGTATCAGCACTTGTATGTTACTGGTAAGATTATTAAAATATGAAGAAACCTAATACACGGGCTTTCATGATGCCTGTTATTCTGCAAGGCACACAGATAAGATCATAACTTGGTGCTGCTGTGAAGCTGTGCCCAGAATCCAGGCTGGCTGTGGACAGAGCAGTCATTTAATGTTTTCCTCTTGCATGCACTTTCTAGGCTGGAAGCTCCCTGGAGCAGCAGCTCCTTGTGCCCAGCAGCGTGTGCTTAGAGACCCTACCAGGACAGAAAGGCATTAATGTCCCACTGGACATTACGCTGATGGAATCAATGGCAGTGTTATGGCACCTCAACCCAAGAAGACTTCCCAACACTGATATAGATATCTAAAGGCAAATCTATTTACTTCAGCACCGTACTGGGGTTATGAGGAAGGCTATGAGAGTGACTGGAAGCACTAAGCCAGTGCAGGTCCTTCAGTCCTTCTGCCTTCTAGCTGATACCACTGTACCCAAAAACATGCTGCTGGTGCCCAAAAACTAGCAGCAGCATCTGACTTTACTGAATGGTGAGAAGCATCCTGATCCCAGGGCAGGACATCTCCCTCAGATCAGCCTCCATGGCTGACCCCCTGCATACTCACAACTCTGGAGTCCTGGTTGGCCTCCCAGGAGTGCCAGAGACTTTGCTGGCAGCGCTTATCAGCCCGAGGCCTGGCTTTAAGAGTACAAGTGCAAACATCTCCAATGTAGACAAAGCCATTAGCTTTAAAGGTCAACACTGAAGCCTTCCGTATATGCCATACCGAGGCTATCTGTGTTCGAGAGTCCTTGTAAAATTAGAGAGTGAAAAGCAGGAGCGTTAGCACAGGAGCAAATGGATTTGCTGGAACGTGTTCAGCAAAACAAAGCTGAGACTTACGTCCGTGCAGTGCCAAGCCTTCCTGTGGCACAGCATTATGTGCTGTCAGGCTGCTCTTCAGCTGCCAGCCCTGCGTGCTCTTCCTCCTCAGGTGTGGGATGTTCGATGACTTGCCTTGAGCCCTCGTGGGCTCTGGGTTTCCTGGGGTCCATGTGCCCTGTATGCAGCAGTTCAGGCCTGTGTACATATCCATGGGCTGATTTGCCCATAGCAGTTGCTCATATTTTAAAGAAGGCTCATTTTGGTCTTGCTTAGGGTGATTAGGGATAGCCAAGCCTGGACACAGCTGTAATTTGGGTGAGGGCTCTGGAGTTCTCTGGCCCACCTGGGTCAATTTAAGGGAAAACGAGGTTGAGCTCCTCAGGCCTATCCGGGCTGCCTGCTGCATCTCCTCTCTCTCTCTCAACTTCCACAAGTTGGGCTGTTCCACACAAGAGTTTAGGCTGGCTTTCTACAGAAATGAGGCTTAGACTTGCAGTCTGTGTGGGGCCACCTGTCTTCACGCTTGGAGACGTGAAGCCCGCTGTGAACACAAACACCAGTTCCAGCAGATTTTTACACAGGTGCTTCAAAGAAGCAATGTCCTGGCGGGTGTGGGAAGGTCAGTCTGGTATTCCTCTGTGAAAAGAAGACTGCATTGGGACCTTAGTCCTATGGGATACCAAAAAGGGATTTTCAGTGAGCTCAGGTTAGAATGCCAGGTACCATTTTTCTACAACAGCTTCATGCTTTTAGGCTGGTTTCAGCAAGCGCTACTCCTGGGCGGGTGGTACCCAACTTCAGTCTTACAGATGTGGTTATAACGTTAATCTACCAACATTTTTGTGAGGAAGTGAAAACTGGTGGAGTGAATTTGTGCCAGCCTCATGTTTGTTTGACTATTTTTATTTTCTTTTTGGTCCTGAGACTTAATGCTAGGAACTCCAATGTACGTTTTAACAAATTGGCAGAGCAGAACTTCATCATAATTACAGAAGAGGATTTAAGTACCTAAGTCACATTGGTACTTTCAAAATGTTATACATCACTGCTGTGTGATTTTGATAAACGTGGTCAGCCATTGGCAAACTGAACAGTTTCTGAAAAAAGCATGCCTGAACTGGAAAAAGGCCCTCTTTTGCTTCAAGAAAAGCTGGAGGGGAAAAAGGAAAGTCATAAAATATTATCAGACTCTGCTTTTAATGCTGATACAATTACCCCTGCGCAGCTCTGTACACCGTATTTTGAAAGCCCTGTGGTGCACTGGGAATAGCCATGTGTTTTCTTACAGGGGAAGTCAAACGGGTTTGTTTCTCCTCTTGACATTGCCAAGGATCTTTAGAAATGGATGCTGTTTGATGCTGGTTTGGGGCCTCCTCACTGCAGATCAAACAGGTAGGGTTGTGCGGCTTCTTCAGGGGACTTGGGACCCAGGAGACCATGGTCAAGTGGACTGGTGGGGTCTTCCAACACAGGCAGGGCCCTTTGCACTGGGGTTACTGGTCTAACACGTCCACGTCTGTGTGGCAAATGTTGAATTTCCCTTTGCTTATCCAGGGGCACATTGTCCCTAGTGCAAATCCACCCACACAAGCAAGGTTGCACTAAGGGAGATTTTGTCCTGAAATCATTCAAAGAGAAAATTTTGGTAAATGTTTGTTCTAATTAGCATAAAAATATCTTTGGGCCAAGGCTTGAGGTGGATCTATGAATGAATAGAACTGATTGCTTCAAGCAAAGAGGAAAATAAGAGAAAAGCTAAGACACACAACACTCACCATACCTTTCAGCTGTCAGAAATGTTTTCTTCTGGTTTGGGTAAAGGAAGGTTTCGAGCAGCATTTATTCATGAGGCTCGGCCCATCCCCGTGCATTTTTTATCTGCACATCCTATAGCAGGTATGTCAGGGAACGTGGCACACTTTGTTTGGTGGAGATCAGACAGTCATATCTGAAACAAGATGAAGGTTTTCCAGAATTAAAGAGCTGGATTAGGTGGGGGTCTTTATGTCACGTCATCACTCTGAATGTTTTCATGTCAGCAGAAAAACAAGAACAAGGCTTTCTGACCTTGAAAAGAAATGCCTGAGGGAAAGGCTCCTTCATGCAATTTTTAATACTCTTCTTAGTGACTTTTTTTAAATTGCTGTAGCACGATACAGGTTTGAACTAATGAATGTCACACTCATGTGGGGCAGTTCCAAAAATGAAAGACCTTGATTGACTGAACACTATTATTGCACTGCACGATGATGTTATCAACATCACCTACATTTCTGACTTTCAAGTGTCTCGGTATCTTATAGTTAGCCTCTCAGCTGCATGAGAGACACACTCTAGATTTAGTTTCAAAGCCATCACACAAAACTTTATTTAAAAAAAAAAGTGAGAGTTGTATGCTATTTTTTTTTTTGTTTTCATTTATCCCTTTTTTTAATTAAAGTGATATTTGCTAACAACTGATTTCAGTATGGCTGTTTCTTCCATGTACTGGGAAAGAGAGCATCATTTCCAGATCCCTTCAAAGACTGTTTCATTTGCGGGTCTTTAGAAGATGGATGGGGTTGTGGTTGTAAAACCTTGGCTCCATTTTTTTCACCCCAGCCAGACTGCCACTTCTCTCCTGGAGGAAAGCCCTCCTTCCTCCCTCCCCAGCTGAACTGAAATGAACGGTCTGCGTTTGTAAACAAAATATCCTGATTTTTTTCATTCCTGAAAGGTTTGTGAAGCATTGGAACAGGCTGCCCAGGGAAGTAGATGAGTCACCATCCCTGGGGGTATCCAGAAAACATGTAGATGTAGAGTTTAGTGACACAGCTTAATGGTGGACTTGGCAGCTCTAGGTTAGAGGTTGGACCTGATGATCTTAGAGGTCTTTTCCAACCTAAATGATTGTGTGTCCTCTGGAGCTTCCTGCCAGAGGCACTCAAGGGAGTGCTGGCTTTGACACAACTTCCCCAGCCACAATTAGGTTTTGGCAGGT